TGAAAATTAGGATGACCCATTCTTGCATGCCACAACATAAAAGTATTAACTTTAGAAATAGATGCAGAGTTGCCGACAATCGGTGAGTTACCTACTTAAATAGACTTTGAAATAGTAGAGCTCCTCATATTATTTGGCACTTTTGATTGTCACGCCAGATAATAAGTCTTGAAATACACAATGGGATGTGTGGAACTTAGCATAACAATTTAATTGCTTAGTTAGTTGACTAATGAAAAGTAAATTGCAACCAAGCTTAGGCCTAAGAAGTGCAGATTCCAACATTATGGAATTTGAAATTTGAATACTCTTTTTTCCTGTTATAGGTGCTAATGAGTCATCTCCAATCTTAACTTTAATGTTTTCAGCACATGGGGTGTAAGTGGTAAACGAGTCATGATAATTAGTCATATGGTTGGAGGTTCCAGAATCAACGATCCACACTATTTTATTTTGTGATGTTTTTAGAGCTTGAAGGAAAGTTCCTCGTTTCACCACTGTTGCTATGTGTAGAGATTTTGATTGGGTAAGTTTGCTATTAAAGAGCACCCACAAGATTACTTTGATGAATGTGAGAATTTCCGCATAATAGAGGAAAAAGGAACATGGCATTCCCACAAACAGCGAGCAGTCATGCACCCAAAAGAACTTGAGATAGAGGAATAGGGAAAACAAGTTGTCCAAGGCTAAGGAACAGTGGGATCGGACCGGAGATGTCACGTTGATGACAGAAAGGCACATTGTCGACTACCTTGGTCTTTCACATGCTCCTACTTGCTGCCTGGAGCTTCAATTAGTGCATGAGAGTGCCACGTGCTGCCAATCAGAGCCTTGCGCACCTCCCTAGGCCGGCAATGAGGTCTAGAACTTTCTCTACCACCACGAACAACAATGGCCAAAGTACTCTGAAGTCCACATCTGACGAGGCATCATCAAGAAAACCCTAGATGTAGACACTCCAATACCATCTGGAATTTGGGAGAAAATAACATTTCTCATTGATTTGAATAGAGTACAAGCTGACTATATAGATAGAAGGGGAAATAAAAACTAATAATGTCTAATAAAGCCTAATAAAGACTATACAATATTTACAATAAATACCAAATATTCTGACAAAGTGTTATACCAATATTCAAGCCAAGATAACCATTTGGCCTATTGAGTAGGCTTCTTATTGGCAAAACAATGTAAATATGTCTCCAAGCTTCTATTTAGCACCTCAGTTTGCCCATTGAATTCTGGATGGTAAGCTGAGTTAAGGCAAAGCTGAATTCCAGCCCATTTGAACAATTGTTGCCAAAAGTAGCTAATGAAAACCCTATCTCGGTCCAAAACTATGGTTTTAGAGAAACCATGTAAGTTAACAGCTTCTGCCATAAACTTTTTAGCAACATCCTTTGCAGTAAAAGGATGAGCAAGAGGGTAAAAATGAGCATATATTGTAGGTCTATCCACAACTACTAGTATGGTATCATACCTCCTTGATTTGGGAAGCCTGGCGATGAAATCCATGCTAATATCTTCCCAACCACTTTGTGGAATAGGTAATGGTTGTAACAGGACAGTGGGAGACAAAACTTGATACTTATTCTTTTGGCACAGCTGACAACTTGCCACATATTGTTGGATGTCTCTTTTCATTCCCTCCCAATATACCATGTTTGACAGCCTCTTATAGGTGCATAAATAGCCCAAATGCCCCTTGATTGGAGAGTCATGGTACTCCTTGAGTAACAAAGGAATTCTTGTGGAACCCTTTGGTGGTACTAACCTCTCTTTATAGTGTAGACAGTCATGTACTAAGCTGTACCCTTCCACCTTTTTTTTGTCAGCGATAAGTTGCAGCAGAATTTTGCTTAATTTTGGATCAGTTTGCACTTCTTTCTCCCATTCTTCCACATCATTGTACTGCCATAAGGAATATCCCATTAACTCCAGCGATTCCTCGTCTAGATAGAGCATCAGCAATCTTATTCTCTTTGCCAGGCTTACACACAATCTCAAATTTGAATCCCATTAATTCAGAGACCCATTTTTGCTGGCTTTCATCAACTACTCTTTGCTCTAGCAAGTATTTCAAGGGCTTTTGATTAGTATGAATGATAAACTTGTGCCCCTAAAGATAATGCTGCCACTTCTTGACTGCTATAACTTTGGCCATAAGCTCCCTTTCATAAATAGAGCATTGTTGGGCCTTATTTGAGAGTTTTTGGCTAAAATATGCCATGGGTCCGTTCTGCTGCATCAAGACTGCTCCTACACTAGTTCCGGAGGCATCGGTTTCCAACTCGAAGGGGATGGTAAGATTAAGCATTGCAAGCACAGGAAGTGTAGTCATTGTTATTGTTCAAAGGCTTGTTTTGCTTCTGTGACCACTTAAAAGAATCTTTTTTAAGTAAATTAGTGAGACGACTAGTAATCTTCCCATAATTCTTGAAAAATCGACAGTATTACCCAAACAACCCTAGGAATCCCCTCAAAGATTTCACATTCTTAGGCTTTGGCCACTTTACTATGCTTTCTATGTTGGCCAAATTTGCTTAAACCCCTTCCTTTGATATAAGATGACCTACATACTCAATCTTTGGTTGCACAAAACTGCATTTCTTTAAATCAATTACAAGCTGGTTTTCTTTCAAAATGAAAAATACAGTCTCTATATGTTTCAAATGTGATGTTAGGTCATTGTTATATATAAGAATATCATCAAAAAATACATATATAAGAATATCATCAAAAAATACTAACACAAATTTGTGTAAGTATTCTCTAAATATCCCATTCATTAAGGATTGAAAAGTTAAGGGGGAATTGGTTAATCCAAAAGGCATCACCTTAAACTCAAAGTCCCTCGTGTGTTTTGAATGCCATTTTGTGCTCATCCCTCGTGTTAATTTGAATCTAATGCTGCCCAGACTTAAATTCCAGCTTGGAAAAAATTGTGGCTCTCTTCAATTCATCCAATAACTCATCAATGGCTGGAATGGGAAACTTATCGGGAACTGTAATCTCATTTAAAGCCTTGTAGTCGACACAAAACCTCCAACTTTTATCTTTTTTCTTCACCAATAATACCGGGCTTGAGTGAGGGCTGTTGGTTGGTTGAATAATTCCAGGTTTCAACATATCTTTCACTATGTTTTCTATTTTGTTCTTCTACAGATAAGGGTACTAGTAGGGTCTCATGTTCGGTGGCTGTTCTTCTGGCTTAATAATAATGGCTTGATCCTTGGCACAGCACAGAGGTAGACCTTTGTGAACTGAGCTGATCATAGGGAATTTTTCTGTTAATTTTTTAATTTCTAGGCTTAGAATTGTTGTGCCTTCATTGTTGCCTGTTAGTCCATTGTGCTCAATCAAAAACCCTTCTCCTTTCTTTCTCACGGATCAAATCAAGGATCCAAAAGTAGTTTGAGCCCGAGTAAGAGATGGGTCGCCCTGCAAGCAAACTTTCTTTTCTTTATTGCTAATCTTTATTGTTAATTGACTCTAGTTAACCTTCACATCACCTAGTGACCTTAGCCATTCCATTCCCAAGATTGCACCAACACCTCTTAGCCTAAAAGGATAGAAAGTTTGAACTATATTGAGACCCTAAACACTTAAACAGAGGTCCTGACAATGCTTCTTCCCTTTCATAGTAAACCTAATGCCTACTGTAATAGTATTTTTAGAAATTTTTTCAAAAGGTAATTTCAGCTTCCTCTAAAAATCTCCCGCACTGAAGTTATGACAGTGGCACTGTCAATAAGAATGACCATCTCAGTCCCCTTAATCTTCCCTTTTACCTTTTTGGTGTGGTTATTGCCAAACCTAGCCGTGGAATTGAGAGATAATCCCATGTGCATCCCCCCTTTAATAGTTTCAAAATTCCCTTCCTCAACTTCAAACACTGCGTCTTCTCCTTTTTTGGTGGTTTTGACTAATCTCATCTCTATTATCAACACTTGAAGATTCTTGTTCCTGTACTAGTGGGTCGGGCTATATTTGTCACCACATTTAAAACATAGTTCAAGCTCCCTTTAGTGTGCAATTTCAGCATCACAAAGTTGTCGAGAACTGTTGCCTTTCTTTGTCGTAGGTACAAAGTTCGAATTGCTCCTTGCTTTCAATTGCTTTGTTTTTGTCTCCTTGCGTTTTGCGTTTTCAGTAGGCATCATTATAGGGGGAGGTCATGTTCTTGCTCCTGAAATTGCCAACAATCCTGTTCAATGTGATCGGACTAAGCATGTCGAGATGGATAGGTATTTCATTGAGGAGAAAATTGAAGCTGAAGTCATAAACCTGGGCCACATTCACTCAAGAAGACAAGTTGCAGATGTGATAACCAATCCTTTGGTTAGTGCCAAGTTTGATGAAATGATAAGCAAGCTAGGAATGATTAACATATATTCATCAGTTTGACGAGGAGTGTTGGAAGTAGGTTGAATGGCCCATAAGCCTTAGGCCTGTTAACTTTATTAAACCTAACCCTAGATCTAATTGTTATTATCTTTATAGTTATTTATCAGCAAATTATTAGGGATTAGGATCAGATTTATTATTCTGTTTTTATTTCTCAGATTAGAGAGGAAATTTGATACAATTATGATCTTATCTCTCCTCCTATATATTTATTGCTGCTCTCTGTGAATAACATTTATCCTATATTTCCATAATAAACTCACATATCCTTTTGAACCCTAATATTGGCATTCATCAACATGTTATGTCTTCTCTTCAATAATTAGGCACCTCCTCCCTATTAATATTAAGTGTTTTACATAGGTCATTCATCTACAGTTTTCTAGTTTTGTGTTGGTTAATAATGCAAACAAATTTGCTAGCAGTTATTGATGCTTGTGTTTTTTCAGTAGATTTAAAACAGCTGTAGTCTTTGTTCAAACTCTGTTTTAATTTTATTTTTTTCAAATATTTCATTTTATTGTTTTGGAAATTAGAGAGTAGATCATAGGTTTTAAGGGCAATGTTCTGTGTGGGGTGCATGTGTGTTTTAGGACGTGCAAATTGGGCAAAGATTGATTACCATCTCCACGGTAGGAGTTCCAAATACGATAAAGAAGCTGGCGTCTCACAAACTTCAATCTACATTAGCAGTGAGGTACTTTTAAAGAAAATAAATTTTCATTTACAATTTATGTGGTCAATTTGAGGCTTCATGTTAAGCCGTATGCTTGATGGCATTTTCACGAGGAATTAGACGTTAGGGCTGCTGCCATTTTGGCTGGTACCCTTTATTAATTGCTTTATAGTGTCTGATTTATGTTGAAACATCTTTTCTTATGACTGAATTACAAAAATTAGTCAGGTTCACCATAACTTCACTAAACTTAATTTCCTGTATTTTTCCATGTAGAGAGATATCCAACCTTTGACTTTAATTTTGATATTAGTTATAAGACAATGTAGTCTAATAACTTTAAGCAGGAATTGGAGAGTTTTTAGTGTAAAATGTGTGCTTTCATTGGCCAATATGTTTGTTTTTTGCTTTGGATGAAAATTTTCGTGGGATTGAACCCTGGCTATTGTGAGCCAGTCAAATTTTATCCCTTTGCCCCCTTTATTGGCGGATTGCTTTGATGTATGCTAATGTGACATTCTTTTGTACGATCTCTTGCTTAGCTCCCCTTCCCCCCCCCCCCCAAAAAAAAAAAAAATGATGGCTGTTGTGCCGCTGAATTCTTTCGAATGGAGCCATTTATATAATTGTCTTTCTGACGTGCAAGTTTCTAATTGTACCTTGCACCAGCCTACGTTCCCCCCCCCCCCCAAAAAAAAAAAAATGATGGCTGTTGTCTGTCGTCAGAGTTGTTCAGAAGCCACTGAATTCTTTCGAATGGAGCCATTTATATAGTTGTCATTCTGACGTGCAAGTTTCTAATTGTACCTTGCACCAGCCTACATGCTCCTAACCAGAAACTTAGGGAGTCGATTGTTCCAAGTGCAAAATCCTATCCATTGGATGCCCTTCTGAGAGACTGCAAGGAATACTTCCTTGAAACCAGCAGGCGGATTTCTTTCGAATATGCTCTTTTAGGTAAAAAAAAAAAAAAAAAGTCGCACAAGCACTTTTTCCTTCCTCATGTAAAAGGTTAATAAGATTCATGTCCATGTCAATGGCATATTCTTGGCATTATGTTTGAGCAGCTGGAGTTAATGATTCAGTAGACCATGCAATGGAACTTGCTCAAGTACTCCATGGATGGGGCCAGGGCTATCACGTGAACTTAATACCTTTCAATCCAATAGAAGGATCAGAGTATCACCGTCCTTATAAGAAGGCAGTATGTGAAGTTTTATTTTCTTCAATTGAAGCCTTAATTTACTTGGTCATAGGAGTTATTCAATAATTTCGTCTTGTTTGCTGCCAAACGGCTGTTAATACATACTTTCTTACAGGTGCAGGCATTTGTTTCTACTTTGGAGTCCTTAAAAATAGCTGTCAGCGTACGGCAAACAAGAGGACTGGATGCAAATGCAGCTTGTGGTCAGCTGCGAAACAATTTCCAGAAAGATCCTTTTGTCACTGATGAGGATCTGACATTAAGCCGTTAACTCAGGAGGTTATGGTATTAGCCTTCTCTCCATGCAATATCAAGTTTCCGTCAATCGGATGGGGTAGATGCTGGATGAACAAGGTACGAGAAACAGATTTGCATGTTGGCTGTTACCAATTGTGAGATGATAAGGAGATGTCGAGGGACAGGCATATGGTTTGTTGACGACCGAGATGCTTGAAGCGTGCAAGGCTTCTTTAATTCAAGTGGTGGATCCTTTAGGCACCATATAGTGACGTTTGGACCATTGGAAATTTTGGCCTAGCCTGAAGCGACATGGTGAGGAGTGAGAAGTCATGAGCTAATCTCATTCTTTGCTTGAGAAGTCATGAGCAGCCTTGGAGAGAATTTTAGGGTGCCAGATGAGATAACCATGTGTAATTTGATATTTTGCAAGTTGACCTTGCGCGTAAAAATTATCTGTACTGTTGTATTCTCCCTAACTCCCCCCCCCCCAAAAAAAAAAAAAAAAAAATTCCCCTTCGGCTCACAGTTGCACCAAATGATCAAAGTCGCTTAATGCTTTTTGCAGCTACAAGTTTAATAATCCCAAGTAGCCAACAAGTTGGGATGCAATAAAAACCTATCCGCCATAAGACCTGCAAATGATGATAAAATATTTTAGAACCTTTTCTTTTTCTGTTTTTTAAGTGGGGCTTGTTTAGATAAAGAGATGTGAAGGTTAGAATTAGTAATTTAAGTCAAGTTTAATGAATAAGTTCAAAAGAAATTTGGGTTTAGCACATTAAAATAAATAAATAAATACTTTTAAGGAGTGTTTGATTGGGGGAGGGGAGGGGTTTCCACCCCCTCCTCTCATTTGGTTAGGAGGAGGGGAGCCTCTCCCCTCCCCTCCTTAGGTTAGGCGGAGGGGAGAGGAAATTTTTAAAATTTTCCCTCCCCTCCCCTTCAAATTGGGGGAGAGTTCCCCTCCTCTCCCTTCCCCCTCCTCCTCCTCCCCTCCCTTTCCCTCCTCTCCCCTCACCTCTCCTCCCCTCCTATCGTCTCTCCTTAAACCAAACAAGCCGTTAAACTTATTTAGATGGTTTGAATAAACTCAAAAATTTAAGTGAAGCTTGATTAGGTTTGGATTTTGCTTGAATCTCTTAATAAAAAAATATTTTTTAAAAAATATATAAAATATAATAAATATTAATAAATTTTTAAATTTTAAATTATTTTATATTAAAATATCATATATATTTGAGTGCGTTGTTATAAATATTTTTTAAAAAAATTTCTAAGTATTTATATGGTAATATTTTTATTATTTTTAATTTATAAAATATTTTAAATATGTTTTAATATTGACTTTTAGATTTTAAGAACCACATTTCTTTTAAAAATTTTTACATTATTTAAGTATTTAAAAAATATATTTTATATTTTTTATAAAGTAATCTAATCAATTTTAAAGAAAAATTAAATTAATAACAATTTTAAAAATACAATTTGAGTGTTCGAGCTATCTAAAGTCTAAAAGAATTTAGATTGAGTTTTACTATTTAAATTTTTTAAAGAGTTGAGCCTTTCAAGTTTATCCAGATTAAGCTGAATAAGCTTAACTCGTTTAAATTCTTGTCTACTGTGAAAATAAAAAATATCTTAATTTTAAAGAAATTTGATATCAAAGTATAAACTGGCTTGACTTAGTGGTAGAGCGCGTAGCCTTTACTATGTATGCTCGATCCCCACAATAGTATATATTTGGAATTTGGAATGTCCTGGCCACATTGGCATGGCGCCCACCCTCATTCAAGGGGTCTTCACGGACGTCACACCACACCACCGTCGACCTTTATGCCAAAGGAGGAGGTGTCCATGTGATTTGGCCATCCAAATCCAAAATCAACAGCCAAGGAATCCCAGCTGTCCCAATCCACCGCACTTTCTCATCTTTACTTTAATGGCGCTCACCGCCCTTCCTTTTATTTATAGAAACATAACTTCCTTTCATGAATTTCCACGCACCGAGCTTCTTTATTTTTTGCTTCTCCCAATGAAATTCGAAGACTATCTTAGAGAGAAAAGCATGGCGCAGCAGAAAAAACAGGACCTCAAGAATGAGGTGACCAATCTCTTGTACGCAAACACACGCACGCACTGACTGACATATTATCTAGCTAATATCTTCTAATACTATGTTCTCAAATCACTTTATTACAATTTTACAGGTTATCCAATTGCAAGCACAGTTGGAGGGTGAAGAAACACTTAATAGGGTCTTACGCTGCGCAGTTGATTGTCCTCTTTTGTCCTTCCCATTTCTGCTCTCATTGTTTCCTCCTCATGTATAAAGCCAAATCAATCCCCTAGAACACATCATTTTCCCCCTTTCAAATGGTAGATTATTTTTTCATAGTTAACACTGGATATTGTAGGTCCAGGTGCTCCTCGAAGAACTGGCAACGGTGGAGGAGGAGATCCTTTTGCTCGAAAGAAAGGTTAAGGAGCTGGAACTTCAACTGTGCACGGAGAGAGATCAAACCAGAGAATGGGAACTTCAGCTTCGAAGATTATCTAAACATAGTCAGTGCCCAATTATGTCGGGATATGGGTCAGTGATTAATGAGCAGAGGTACAGATCGCACAATTTTCAAGTATTCACCAAAAGGAGAATAAAGGGAGATAGAACAGGCTCTCTGGGTTTTGCATTAGATATACATAGCCTGTTCACCACATCCAGAAGGCCAAACAGTAAGCCTCAAACACGTTCTGTTCATTAAAGAATTTTTTTTTTTCCTTCTACATTTTGTCAAATCAAACAAAACCTATTTATCGACGCACCTAATTCATATTCAGCCGTTGCCCGGTTATGACAACTCTTTTTCCTTCTGCTTTGTTTTCTCACCGCATGTGGTTTTGGTTGGGGTAATTCTATGAAGAGCTTATTCTTTAATGGGTTCAATTAATTAATCCTTCTATTTTGAATCTCAAAATATATCATTGTTTTTTTGTTCCCTCCTTTTTCTTTTGAATTGATTGTAAAGTCCCACGAGAGATCCCAAGACAATGCCAAACACAAATAGCAATGGGCATTGAGAAAGCAAATGAACTGTCAGAGGAACTGCTCAAATGCCTGATCGGAGTATTTTTTGAACTGAACCATGAATCCTCCTCAGACAGAAAAGAACCAGACTCTAGTGCTACAAAACTTACCCTATCGTGTATGAAATCCACTGGCTTCACTTGCAAAGCACCTTCATTCCTTTCAAATCCCAATGTCTCAAGTGCAGATCCTTATGACATATCATCGGATTCAGATTTCCTCGCAAGAGATATCGGGCCATACAAGGACTTCATTCACATCACTAGTAGCTCATTATACATCGACCGCTTTTCGCATTGCTTACCTGCGTTCGGAAAATTGAGGTTCCATTTTGTTCTGAGTTTTCTTGGCTCGCCAACAACTTTAAGGATTAGAATGTTCCTTTTCTAAAAAATAGTAATAATTCGCAGGGTGCTGATGAACAGGCTGTGCGGAGTGGATTTGAATTTCTTGACCAACAACCAGAAGCTGGCATTCTGGATTAACATCTACAACGCCTGCATAATGAATGTACAGTAAGGCATTTGAAGCCTTTATTATATACAAGTGAACTGGATTACTCAGCCGGTCAGTTTGTAATAATGCTAGCACATACCGTTGTGTTTTGGCGAATTCTTAGGCATTTTTAGATCAGGGGCTGCCGTCTACCCAGGACGAACTGTTAGCTCTAATGAAAAAGGTACGGCACGCGAGAGGCCAGAATTTTGGCTTGCGGGTGCGTGCGTGTTTTTTGGGGACAAATGGAAGTCACTGAGGAAATTTTTTGTGCGGGGCGCGGAGGAAGGCGGCAGTGAATGTGGGCGGAACAGTGCTGAACGCTTTGGCTATCGAACACTTGATACTTCGGCATCCATGCGAATCAAAACACGTAAGTGATGATAGTCAAGTGTCAAGAGTGCGTACGTGTGTATGTTATGCTCCTTTGGTTAATATGAGAAACAGATGGATTAACAAGAGTCTAGACAAAATTGTTGATATAAGCAGAGAGGCGCGGATGAGAAGGAGATGGCGGTGCAGGAGGCGTACGGGTTGGGGTATCCAGAAGCGAACGTGACGTTCGGGCTGTGCAGAGGGACATGGTCGTCACCAGCAGTGAGTATCTCTAACTGTAACTGTATCTGTATGGAGTTGGTTTCAGGAATGAATGAATGAATGCATGCATGCATGAATGCAGGTAAGGGTATACAGAGGGGAGGAAGTGGGGAAGGAGCTGGAGAGAGCAAAGGCGGAGTACCTGGAGGCGGCGGTTGGGCTGGGGAGGAGGCATAGGAAGATAATAGTGCCGAAGCTGTTGGAGAGGCAGATGCTTGACTTTGCGGACGACATGGAGTCATTGGTGGAATGGATATACAGCCAGCTTCCTCCCTCTTCTTCTCTCAAAGCCCCCCTCTTCCACTGCCTGTCCTCCTCATCATCTTCCATCCAGATCCAACCTTATCGTTCTCACTTTCGCTACCTCCTCCCCCTTCCCCGTGAACAACCATGATATTTTTATCTCTCTCTATTTCTACTTTTTTAAACCCCCAATTCATGTATACTTTTCCACTTACAATAAAATTGATTCTGGATCAGTCCCCGGCGAGGGTGACCCAAATAAAATAACTAATGCACAGGACCGCACTGATGGATTTGGCTGCTTAAAGACGAATAGACGATCGTCCACCCCCCAACCCAACAAAAAAAAAAAAAAGAAGGACGAATAGACGATCGATCACAAGATTGGCATTGCGCCCACTTTTTTGTAGTTGGGATGGTTACTGGTCATGCTTCTTGCGTCTTGCTCTCCTTCCAAAGCCAAAGAAGAAGCCTCCACCGAATACCTCCTCCCCCACTTCCGCCCCCTTTCTTCTTCTCTCTCGAATCCACGCTCGCGATTTCAACCGTTTCTTCCTTAGATATCGTTTGCTTCCCTTCTTCCCGTTTCTGCTGCATTTAGCTGACTAGCATTCTGAGATTCTCCGGGGTTATTTTTAAAAGCCTTGATGCCGGTGCGCCGGTGCAACTTAATCTGATGATTAATTAGTTGGCATATTCTTTTTGTGCAGGTTACTTTGTACTTATAATACTGAACCGATTTTTCTTTTAATCAATTTGTTAAGGGTGATGCTTGAACCTGTATGAAACCTGGCATGTCGCAACAGGAAACAAAATTCTTTTCTCCCGTTGGGGTTCTCCGTTTTTTAATTCGTCAAAAAACGATGCTGTAGTACAGTTGATATTTGATGGTCCTTCACATTGTGTTCGAAAGCTCTGTCTTGGTATGATAGAGAGCGCTTCAATCTGTTCAATACAGTTCTTCTTTCTTTTTCCTTAAAAGATGGCTGATTCCGCAGGCACTTTACGTTGATATGCAAAATGGTGAATCACGACGACGACAAGGATCTCAAAAGGCAGAGCAAGACTATTTGCGTTCCTTCTAAAGGAACTTGATTACAAAAATCACAAGTTAATAGAAATGGAGCAAAAACATAATGTGACGGCTGCGGCTATGCAAAAATTAATTGTGAACCTTATGGAGAACATCAGTTCCAGGGAAAGATGCTTGCTGGAAGTGGAATGCAAGTGTAACGAGTTTCTTACCATGGTTAGAAACTTGATGGATGAAAGAAATAAAATGCATGACAAATATCATAACGGTATATTATATTTCTGAACACTGAGATTGAAATATGTGGTGGAAAGGAGAATGTGTTATCCCTAAATATCGTTGTCCTACATTTGCCCATCTACGGTCTTGCATTTGTACTATGAGTTGTAATTAGATTTCTTATTTCCGAATGGAAAAACACAAACTTTTATCTTTATAATTTCATCACTTTTTGTTTTTAATTTTTATATTTTTTTCTAATGTTTTCATTGCTTATAATTTTAAAAAAATTAGGTGACCTTTGTTTTTCAAATCTCTATAATTTTTTTTTTTTTCAATGGTTTTTATCTTTATAGAGACTGAAAACATTGGAAAAAAATACAAGGATTAAAAAAAATTCAATAAAACTATAGAGACAAAAAATTATGTTTCCCTCTCCAAAATTTCATAATGATTGACTTGCACTTTTGTCCTTCCCAGAATTCCAATAGTTTAAGGTTATGAACACTAATATGATTCATGACATGGAATGTCTAAAGAAAGAATATGAGCAGCTTACAGAGGAACTGAAGGAGACTAAGTCCTTAAATGATTTGCAGCAGAAGAGCTTTACTGAGGAGATTAAAAGTGTTAGTTGGGATGAGGCCCTTTAGATACCTGATTAACTCGTTGAAGGCTTGTGTGCTTTAGTTTATTGATCCATTTAGTGTAGTTGTGAAATTATATATATCAAGGGACGTGGTCTTTATGCATTTTCTGTCTCTAGTGTAGTGTTTCATAAGAGATTGATTGTGTTGTTCACTTTTCAATAGCACTGAGTGCCAGTTTTGTGCCAAATAAAGCTCATGTGGTTTTCAAGAAGCTGCTACACTACCCCTGTCTTTAGAACAGCACGCTTTTCGATATTGCTTCTCCAGAGTTGTAAACATATTTTCTGCATGCCTTCTGATGTACTTTTTCCTAAGTTGATCTGTGTTTTATTACAAAGTTTGCTAACTTGTGGCTATTCACATTTTCTAGTTGTCAAATGCAATTCCTCCTACTTTTTAAATGCCAACTATACTGTAGTTATTCAATATAATCGTAATAATATGATATTCTGTCTGGGTTACCCTGTCACGTAGATTATGTAATTCATTTATGACGCTCAATATGGATGGGTGCTTGAGTATATCTCTCTTATTATATTATTATCTTTATAAATAACTTTCTTCATTGTTTCCCTCTTTTATTGTTGCAGTTGAGGAGAGAATTACAAGATCAGTGTCTCGAAGAAAATAATAACGGTTTGACAACTCAACTTTATAATTTCAGACAACTAAAAGACAAGGTGGAAAGGTTGGGTCATGGGGAAAGCATGTATAGTAGCTTGATAGTAAAAGAGTACCAGTATAAGCAAGAACTAGTTGATGCTTGTAAAGAATCTAAAAAGGTATGACACCCTATCCTATTTTGCTGCATGGTGGCTTTTTGTAATCGATCTGTTGCAGTGAATATTCCCATGCAAAATATATCTCTATAACCAAATAATTGATGCATGGGCTAAAATAGTGTGACCACTTAATTGTCTTGCCATGTAGAGTTTACAAGATATGTTCTACAGTCGATCTCAACTTGCAATTAAAAGAATGGGAGCTTTAGATACAAAGCCTTTTCAAGATGTGTGCATGCAAAAGTACTCAAGTGTAAATTGGCAGAAGATATCTGCTCAGTTATGCTCACTGTGGGAAGAAAATCTGAAGAATGCAAACTGGCGTCCTTACAGGATAGTTGAAGCCAATGGGATGTTACAAGTATAACAATATACTAACACAATGTTTCTCTTCATCTTAAAAATCTATCATATATGTTAACTAATTGATTGGGGGGAAATTATTATTAGAAGATAAAAGACAGTCTCATATCTTAAAATCAAAAGACAAATTATAAATATGTAAGTTTAGAAAGTATCTAATCAAATGGCTTAATCTATTTTGGTGGAGTATATTATCCTTAAGTACACACTTAATATAAGAATTCTATCATCGTATTAAGAGCCATTTGACCGAGGACAAAAAAATGAGAAAAAAGAGGGGAAAAATGAAAGATGAAAAAAATAAAAGATTAAAAAGAAAGAAAGAAAGAAAGAAAGAAAGAAAAATTTGAATAAACTTGAGGCATCTATGATTTTAATTAAAAAAAGTACAAGTTCAGGCAAAAAGAAAAAAAAAAGGCAATAGAGGGAATATTAAAAGATAAAAGACAATATCACATTTGAAGATTAAAAAACAAATCATAAATATATAAGCTTAGTAAATATCTAGTTAAATAACTTAAGTTATTTTGGTGAAATATATTATCATTAAGTATATTTAATATAAGAACTCTAACAATCGTTCACATAGCAAAGAATCTTTTGCATCATATTGAGTACTTTTTGGATATCACAACTTGCCAATAAATTATGCTAAATTTAAGATAGAATGATCTCAGTTGAAAAAAAAAATACTCAACAAATGCAATAAATATTAGTTGTCCGTGGTGTAAAGCTGGAAGAACAAAGTGAATGGTTTTCAGAATGTAGAATGATGATCAATGGCAGTTCTGAACGGACCATTAAGTTTGAATGGCTGAGATTACACAATGTGAACAGTAGTATTATATGATCTGAGGTGGTTGAATGTGAGAAAAAAGAGGAGTTACAATTGATGAAGGACAACTAAAACATAGAAATTAACATGAAATGATTTGCTGATAGTTAGTTTGATCTCCACCTATCTTCTTATGACACCCCTGGATTCAAATCTTAAACATAATAGATTACCTCGTAAAAATATATTGTTACAAAGTTAAAACATTAAAATTTCTAACAAGTGCAGGAAATAGTAGATGAAAATGATGAAAAGTTGAGAGCACTGAGGATAGAATATGCGGAGATGGTTTACAAGGCTGTAGCAAATGCACCAATGGAGCTGCAACAATACAATGCAAGCGCAGGATATCCGGTCCCCGTAATTTGGAACCGCAAGGAGGGGAGGGGAGCCAGTTTGAAAGAAGTTATCCAATACATTGTAAAGCAACTAAATTCTTGCAAACATAAAAGAAAGAGAAATTGATCATATCTCTATCTAGCCTCATCTGTATGCCTAATGCTAAACTTCAATACCCCCGAAAACTTATCAACTCTTACTGTTCCTTTTAACTTTTTCTGTCTACAATTCCAGTCATGAAAATACTTCTCATTCTCTTTTCTGTGAGTATGAGGTCAGCGCCCTTAGTCTTGGCTAACGTTATTGGTCTTGTGAGTGCGATATACTATGCTAGTTACATGCTAGCTAGAGCTGAAAATTCGAATGAGCCGGACTTATTCGAGCTCGGCTTAAATAAGTTCGATTTGAATAGGCACAAACCCGAACAAGCCTGACTTCATAAAAAGCCCGAATAGCCAAGCCCAACCTGAATTCCTTCAGGCGGCTCAAATACCCAAATTTTATTTTAAAAATTATTTTTAATTAAATTTTTTACTTTAAAATTAATTATTTTATTTTATAAAAAATATTTTTCATACTTAAACAATGTATAAGATTCAAATATATGATATTTTAATATAAAATGACCTAAAACTTAAATAAGTAATTAATATTTATTATATTTTATATATTTTTTAAAAATAAGAATTTTTTATCCGGGTTGTTGGCTCGAAATTTTCCAAGCCTATTTAGGCCAAACATAAAAAGGTATGTTTTTTTTTCTAAACTCGACTCTAAATTTTTTCAAACAAGCTCAGGCTCACCCATCGGGTTTGACCCAAATTATTGGCTCTAATATTAGCCAATTACTACTAGAAAAACAATTCATTATCTTATTCATAATCTAATGGAATTTCCCCATTCCATGAAGTGTAGTCTTTTTTGGTAAGTTTCTAGTTTTTTTAGAGGGTAAATTTGCAAATCTACCCTTAAAATATCACACAAGAGGTACAAGGTATCCTCAAATAAGGAAAGGTGTAATGTTACCTCCAATATATTAAAAAGAGAGCAATTGTAACACTTGCCTAAGTGTTATCCATAAATCACACAATTCAAATAAACTAAGTGTAGTTAAGGAGTTGATCCTAAAATCAACTTAAAAAATAAATCATTTAAATCACTAAATAAATACACCATCAAAAAATAAACATTTAAAACTTTTAGAAAAATTTATAGGTTCTACCTATAGAGCACGAAAGCCAGCTAGGCAAAAACAGGGTAAAAAGATGCTGTCATGCCAGCATTAAATTGCTGCCATAACAGCCCTCCCGAGCCAACTTTCGAGAGGTGCCGTTCGACCTCTGATTGAAGTGATTTTAAAGCTCACGTGTCATTTTTAATAATTAATAGTAGTGTACCAAATTTTAAAATGATTTAACGGTTGGATTAGAATTTGGACACTCTATAAGATTGGATAATGTTGCTGCCATGATAACACTTTTGGACTAATATTTAGAGTGTGCCATTTTGTCATCGAACGTCCGATCGAAGCAATTCCAAAGACTACACGACACATTCAAAAATTACTACAATTGTGCCAAATTTCAAAAATATCTAACAATTGGATTAAAATTCGTGCGCATTCTAACCTCAATAATGGTTGCTGTCATAACAGCATTATATTACTATTATGACAACATCTAACCTGAACATTTTATTTGTGACCCAAATTTTAAAGCCCAAACATTCTAACCTCAATAATTTTAAAGCGCGCCATTTCTTCATTCAATGTCCAATCGAGGCGATTCTAAAGCCCACACAAAGATTATAAAAAATTTTATTTGTGACCCAAATTTTAATAAAATCTAACCTGAACACAAAAGTGCAGCTTTTTGGTAAAAAAAACCATTTCAAAATTATCCAAATCTCATCCTAATAATCACAAACCTGTGGAAACACTTTGGACACATCAAATAGGACTAGGAGTACCTATAGAATATTTAAATGATAAAAAAATCCTTTATATCAAAATTTGACTACCCAAGTGTTATTTCCTAAAATGGACCCTAAGCTCTTAAAATTTATAAATCACACAAGAGTAACCAAAAACCATTCCAAATACCATATACACATATGAATACACATGTCAAACATTTTCACTTGGCTTAGAGATCCCCGTGAGACCCATGCACTCACTCTCTCTATCTAAGGTGTATGTTTGCCCATAACACACCATTTGCAATACAACTACTATGCATTTGCTTGTACAATC